TGGCAATGGTATTTCTCACACCATGTCTCTAACTCCAGCCTTCCACCTGCCCCTTATCTTCTTAGATCAGTGTTTCTCAACCTTTTTGGCAGCCTGAAGATGTGTGAACTTCAGCTCCCAGAATTCCCTGGCCAGCATGATTCTCTAGCCAACTCTGGGAGTTGAAGTCCACACATCATCAAATTGCCCTGGTTGGGAATGTTCTAGATTTTCAAATTGAAGCATTATCCATTTTTGCCAGATAAAAAAATGCATGCGCAATATTTTCTAGTTCTGACCAACTTGCTCATGATGGCTGACATTCTAAAATAATGCTGCCATCTAGCCACAGTACTTCTCAACTGGAGATGTGCAATCCAATCTCAAAGTATCCCAATCCAAAAATGAGACTCTGCAAGGTCAGAACGTTTCAGCCTCAAAATATGTTGACCGCATCTATTATTTTCTAATACTGTACTGGCAACAGAAACCTTGTGTGAGGTCATCTTATTTAACCATTTATGCTACTCTATAATACTATTTACCATCATCACAGAATCTCGTATGGTTTACAGATGATTTCTTACGATTCCTGTTCATTAATAAAAAAAATTCAGCACATATTTTGTAAACACTTCAACTCGTAAGCATAACACTGCCCAAAAGATACTTGCCATCAAAGCCTACAACAATCAACACTGCTCGTCTCCCTCCCTGCATAGCTAGAAAAAAAGCAGAAGAAATGCTTATTTTTGAGATTAGCCACAATTTAATGTACTATTCAGGCCCTAAACTGCCCTTGGTTTAACACGGAATTTAGGGCTATGTTTAAAAACCCAATTATTGTGTAGTTCACTGGATGACTTTAAGTCAGTCATTCTCTTTCAGCCTAACCTTCCTCACAGAGATACGGCGAAGATTAAAATAAAAAATAAAAGGGTGGGGGGAGAGGAAGGATACTACATGTTGCCTCAATTTCCCAAAGCAAAATCAGGTTATACATGTAATACATAAACGATACTTTAATATTTGACATGTTTCAGATTAATCACTGCTTATCGAAAGTCATACAAAACTATGTTGTTGCTGTTAGTTGCGAAGTCGTGTCTGACCAATCGCGACCCCATGGACAACATTCCTCCAGCCTTCCTGTCCTCTACCATCCTCTGGACTCCATTTAAGATCAGGCCTACTGCTTCAGTGACTCCATCGTTCTCTGTTGTCCCTTTCTTCTTTTGCCCTCAATTTTTTCCAGCATTAGGCTCTTCTCCAGTGAGTCCTTCCTTTTCATTAGGTGGCTAAAATATTTGAGTTTCATCTTCAGGATCTGGCCTTCTAAAGAGCAGTCAGGGTTGATCTCCTCTATGACTGACCTGTTTGATCGCCTTGCAGTCCAAGGGACCATACAAAACTATAGTGAGATTAACTTAAAATAGAAGTGAACATTTTGGAATTCTTTCTTGCAATTACAATGAAATTTTGATTACAAGTATGTTCTCATATTTATTTGCTGCGCTTATTACACTACCATCTAAGTCAGAGGTGCCAAACTCAATTTCATTCAGGGCTGCATCAGGGTTGTGTTTGACCGGGGGGGGGGAGAGGCGTGGCCATGGTGGGTGTGGCCAGAGCAACATCACTTGTGTTGGGGGCTCCTGTGGTAGCCCGAGCGCTCTGCCAGGAAAAACGGGCTCCTGAGCTGTTTTCAGCTGGGATAGCCTCCTGCAACCTTCTGCCAGCAAAAATGGAGCTCGGGACGGCCGCAAGCAGTCCTCCCAAGCTCCGTTTTCAATGTCAGAGGCACCACGGGCCAGTCCTTCACTGTTTCCAGAACAGCCCTGAGGGCCAGATCTAAGTACCCTGCGGACCAAATCTGGATAGATATATAGATATATAGATATCCAAGACTAATCACATCAATAAGGTTGGTCCAACATAGATGAGTAAAATTACTACGGCAAAGAGTTACACATGCACATGTCCTAAATAGACTTGACATCTTTGTTATATTTTTAGACAGCTACTACATATTGTATAACGTGTTTTTCAGACACAGAAAAAAAGATGCTAAAGCAAATTCTATCAGCCAGGGATATATCAAGCCTTCAAACAAAAAATGTTTCAGACTGCACAGGAGCCATGGCTATTCATGGGCATGCCTGCAAACACAGCAGGAGCAGCTTGCTAGGCAGCGGTGTGAACCAGGAAAAAGATGCAGCTGCTTCAGCATATTCAAAAACGATGCCTTGAACAAGCTTCTGTGTGTTGTAAAGCATCTCTTGCAAAGGATTTACACAGCCCTCTTGGCCAACATGGAAGACAGCTGCTGTAAGACAGCCATACTGTCCACAGAAATGAGAAAAGGTAGAGCTCCATGGGACTTCAATAAATGCAGCAATATAAGCAAAGCACACACCACATGCAAACAGTAGGCCCAAAAGGGACACCTGACAAATCTCCTAATTCACACTTTGATCCTGCTCCGTGCGTAGGTAGCAAATCTTGAAGCACAAGTTAAATACAAACATGCTTCTGTTTTTCTCCCATTTATGAAATTGTTCAAACATCAAGGGTAGGATGTTCAGTGCCACTATACAGAATAAAATCAGGAAAAAAATACCTAGAATGCAGTCAAATCCAGTAGAATATTATATCAAGGTAAAGGTAAAGGTTTCTCATGTCCAACTCTACAGGCTCATCTCTGTTTCTTAGCTGAGGAGTCAGTGCTGTCCAGAGACATTTCCGTGGTCATGTGGCCAACATGACTATAGCTGAAGTTCACGGAACACTGTTACCTTCCCACTAAAGTGGTACCTATTAATCTATTTGCATTTGCACGCTTTCGACCTGCTAGGTCAGCGGTGTTAAACTGGTGACCCACAGGCCGGATGTATCATATGCAGGCCACACCCACCCTGGTTCCGCAGAGGCAAAAAACGTTGCGATACATCCCATGACACGATCAAGTTTGACACCCGTGTGCTAGGTGGACATGAACTGGGAGTTCACACCATTGTGCGGAGATCGGATCTTGAATCCAGGCTTGCAGCTGACAAGTTCAGTGTCTTTAACCACTGAGTTATCGCGCCCCCACAGTACTATATACTGGATTGGAAAGAGTCAGGTTCCAATCTTCGCTTACAGTGATACTCATTGGTTAACTTTATCCAATCACTTCTCTCAATATAATCTATCTCAGAGAGTTTTGAGAGAGAGCAAAGGGAATGAAATTATAGTATGGATAGGCAACCAGGTGTCCTCTACCCAATTTGGTCTTCAACTCCCCTGTTTTCTAGGCAGCTTACTGCACTCCATATGCGTGTTGATCTCCAACCATTAAGTTGTCTTATCCTACTATATGACAAGTTACTGGCACTTGTCACATTGTCAACATCAGCTAAGTATTGGTAATTTGTTTAGAAATATACATGATACCCACTCCCTTAATGGACTACAGACCATTATATAGCAAATATTCTTGCCAGCCTCTTCTGAAAAGTGATTCATGTGCTAACTCTCACTTTTAAAACTTTGGGACACCTTTCCAACATCGAGGATTTTGCTAGCCTTAAATCTCTTAGAACTTAATGAGATATGTGTTGAGTCTAGGAGCTTCAATGTGCCAGCTTAATGTCACAAAAGACCAATTCAGGCTTTACTACAAAGGAAAAATTCATCACTTTTTATACAAAAGCTTTAGGTAGAGATCCATACCCAAGAAGGCAAAGTATTATCCATCATCAATGACAATTAAACACAAATATCACATGGCACAGATAAGACTTATTTAGCCCATTTAACCTTTTAAATAGCTCTTTATAGGGGTAAAGTTATTTGCCTTTGGCTTACAAAAAAGTGAAACGCAAATACAGCAGGCCATAGAACTTTCTCTTTCTCACATACATACACACACCCAGAGCTTATCAGTTCCGCAGAATAAATTAGGTACCTTTTTTATTTATTTTTTCAAACCTACACATAACTTTGTATCTCCAAATAAAGAATTCAAATTTTAATAGATTTTTTAAAGGGAAAGGGGAAAAGTCACAGCAAAACTTATTTTAGTTCAAATGTTTGGTGATCAGGGCTGAGTATCACTTCAACTGCAGGATATACGCTTGAGGAAACAAAATGCACATTTCCACACCAGTAGCAAAGGACAGCACAACCCCTTCACCTCTTTCCCTCAGTAACAATTCATTTAGAAATCAAATGATTTAAATCATGAAGTTATTGTTCTGCTTCCTATCTTTAGCAATTCAGTAGCAACACTGGCCAAGAGAATAACTTGAATGATTTTGGTAGAAAATCCAAATACTGTCAGTGTGTAGTGTATTTTCCTAGCGCTTCTGCCTCCATTCCTCAATAACATTTTGTAATGACATGACTATAAATGGGAGAGGCACCTCTACTAAGCAGCAAAGATTGCAATACTATAAAAGCAATTGCTTAAGCAAAACAATCCAACCCTCAAAGCTCAGTGAGAAATGATTTACACCAAGGCCCTTTCCTTTTCATAAATAATCACTGGGTTACCGACAAGGAAGTGACAGATAGCAAGTAGGTCTGTAAACTACCCTGTCAAGGTAAAAGCCTCACAATCTACCCTCAGCCTTTTTGACCCAATACAACTTTCTCTGACCTCTGTGTACCTTTAGTGCTAAGATAAACATATCCATGAATTATTGCTTAGCACATTGTAAGCCGCCCTGAGTCTCCGGAGAAGGGCGGCATATAAATCAAATTTAAAAAATAAAATAAAATAAACCCCCTTGCTAGAATTACACCTTCATACAGTATTAAACAGCCAGAGGTTTCCCTCCACCCCACATCTTACACTTTCTACTCAATCGCTCCATGCTTGCATGCGTGTGCTTCCCCACCCATGTTTGTTTTCCCAGGTAAGGCTGCACAAGTTCTTCTAACCCCAATAATGTCCGACTGGATCCAAGGTGTCCTTTAAACCAAGGTTTCAGTTACCACCACACCTAACACAGATTCGCAGACGACCCCCCACTCACTTTTAAGGGCCACAATGAGTGCCTTTCCATCCTTGATCAGCTCCTTGATGAACTTGTTGGTCTTGTCCAGCTCAGCTTCGTGAGACTTTAGCCTTTCTCGGAACTGGGGGCTGTCCAAACAGCAGTCACTAAACTCCAAGGCAGGTAGCCCCATGATTTCCCACAGCCCGTCCAAAGCCAGACTTACGGCTAAAAGCAAATCAGCTGGAAGAGAAACGTCCAGGAATGGAAAAACCCTTCCCTTAAAAAAAGCACTTTAAATCGCAAGGGCAGAACCACCATCAAAGGTTGGAAAAATGTATCCAGTCCGTCCAGCAAAATGCAAAATAAAATAAATTAATTAATAAAATTAGCCTCCAAGAGAGCCGTTTTGATGCTGCTCGGGATCCGCAGACATCAGGAAGTCAATTTGTCAACTCTGGAGGCAGATGAAAAAAAGGGTCTAAAAGGAAGATCTTTGCACCGAAGGGCTGTTTCACCAGCCGCCAGGGCGAGACGATAGAAAGGAGGGAAAACAGCGTTGCAACGCTACCGCTGCCGGAGAACCGCTGCTCGCGGCCACATTTTCCAAACACGCTGCAAACTCGGGGGCGGTGCGGTCGTGGCTGTTGCCGGAACCTCCACAGCTCTTCGCCGGGTCTACGTTGCCGTTGCTTGCTGCCGCAGCCTTGAGACACCCCACCCCGCGTGCTTTGCCCCCGCGGGGCCTCCCGAAGCAGAAGCCCTCGGATCTTCAGCTCAGCACAGGCACCTCCGACGGCATCCGGGATCCACCGGGACCCTGCGCTTCCCCATTGGAACGCGAGCGATCATTTTTCCTACCGCTCTGCCCGTTGGAACGTTGTGGAAAGAGAGAGAGAGAGGGTGGCGCTTTTTTTTTTTTTTTTTTTTGTGGTCCCGCCCCCGGCCCAGACGCGACCCCGCCTCTTGCACCAGCGGGAGCCAATCAGAGGCCGGACGGCTCATGGAGCAAGGAGGAGGGAAGCAAAAAAAGATGCCCCTGCGAAGAGAAGACCGGGGGGCGGGAGGGGTGTAGGGGGCGCGGCCAGAGGTATGTCAAACCGCATGGAGCTGATCCCCTCCCCTCCCTTCCCGCCCTCTTAAAGACATACCCTCCGGAATGGAGGGGGGGGGAGTGTGGAGGGAGGAGTGGTGAAGGCTGGGTTGCTCAAGGGCGTTTTCTGGTAAACCTGTTGCTGCAGTGCAGGCTGAAGGAGAAACCACCTTACAGCGAATCGGTGCAGCCGGGAGCTACGCTTGGAGACGGAAGGAGGGAAGGGAGAATTATGCACGCACGTCGATCCTTTTAAGAGGCGACAGTGGGGGGATCACCTTCACGCTGGCCTTGGCATAAGGAAACAACCGTTCTTTTCATAAAAGGGATCCTTTCCACCTTTCCTTCCTCAAATGAAGTTCCCCTTTGTACACTCGCAGCCCGGCTTCCTTTGCCTGCCTGCCTTTGAGGCTCAAATTATTTTCTGTCTTTTTGCAAGCATGCGATTCCTGCCTTCTGCAGGGAAAACGAAATCAGCAGGATGACCTGCTGAATTTGTGCATACCTATTACCTTTCCCCCTATCTGCCCTCTGCTGATTTGAAAAGCTAGACAGGACAGAGCCTAACCTTGGTTAGCACTTGGGTGGGAGAGCATTGACAAGAGCTAAGATGGAAATAAGACAATAGCAAAACTATATACGGTTCTTCCCTCTCTCACAAAAAATCCTACACAGACATGGGCATGAAATCACCAAGAACTGAGCTTGATTCCAAAGAGATTCTCTCTATATCCATACTGTATATGATCTTGACTCATCTGAAAGAAGCTAATTGCGAGTCATGCCTTTTTCACTTCAATATTCATACATTTGGTAGATGAATTGCCCTTTATTTTTTTCCCCAAAACATATCACATGACCAATTATTGATTGAACTGGACTTTAGACGGTATTCCTGCCCTTCTGAAAGACCTCTAAGTCAAAATTTTAGATCACATTAATTCTAAAGAGCATTAAATTGACAGCAAATTTTTAGATCACGTTAGTTCTGGAGACATTTAAATTGACAGCAAATTAAAAGAGTTGAAGAGCCAAATTCAGTGTTCTGATTAAAAATCCCAAGATTTGGAGACGGAGCTATTTCAATCGGAGTCACAGGACAAATATTTCTTAGCTATCCACCAAAACATGCTATAGAGGGAAATAGGCGAATGCACTCCTTGAAGCATTTCATCTTACAAAATTGCTCACAGGCCATTTCATGTAAATGATTTAGAATAGTTCTGTAAAGTCTGGACAATGAGAAGACAAGGTGAACTGAAAGTTTGACTTTCCTTAGAATGAAATTGGAGTAGCTTTGACATTTTTATATTTTTAATTTTTCTTTGACTGAGGCCAACAACTTAAAATATCCTGAAAGAAGTAAAAATTCCAGACAGGAATATAGTAATACTGAAACAGACAGTAACAAGGTAATAGGCTATTATGCACCAGCAGGGAAGTAGCATTATTTTTAATGTTATAACTCACACTTAAATGAAGACTAAAAGCAGCATTGTATTTGGTTGCACATCTCTAGAAATATTTGAGTGCCTCTGCCAAGATGCATACCAAATGTTTATGTAGTCCAACCAATAATGGGCTGTCCTATATAAGAGCCTTTGTCTCCTATGCTGAAATTCGGAACCGTAAAAAAATTGCTGTCCAGATTTCAGTTCAGTCTCCAGTTTTGGCAAGGATGATAGTTGGATATTTTGGCCAGGTTGCAATTGCTATGTTCTCCAATTCTACTACTGCTTTACCCCTGCTATCCTAGATAAGAAAACAAGCATCAAAAATGTTCCTTTCTTTAGTCGGATTTTTTAGGACATGAGGTTAACATTGATACCCTTTTGAAGGAGCCTCCTTTGTGGACTCCTCCCCCTTTTAATCAACACCCTCCCATCTGACGCAGCCATTGAGAGACAGGTGGTGTTGGAAGATCATCAGTTTTCCTGTCATTTATTTATTTGTCAAGCATATATAAGATTACAGATATAAGTATAAATATGATTTGAATACATGAAAAGGATACGAATAAAAAGAGACATTAGGACAGGGACAGTAGGCACGATGGTGCACTTATGCACGCCCCTTACAGACCTCTTAGGAATGGGGTGAGGTCAACAGTAGACAGTCTAAGGTTAAAGTTTTGGGGGGTTGGGGAAGAAACCACAGAGTCAGGTAGTGCATTCCAGGCATTGACCGCTGTGTTGCTGAAGTCATATTTTTTGAAATCGAGTTTGGAGTGGTTTACCTTGAGTTTGTATCTATATTATTTGCTCGTGTATTGTTGTGGTTGAAGAAGAGGAAACCTGCAGAATTCTTCTTAATTCCACTTTAAAAAGAAGTTTCACCTTCCTTCATTCTATGGTGAACCTTTAAAACAAAACAAAACAAAACAAAACAAAACAAAACAAAACAAAACAAAACAAAACATGAAATGACCCATCCTTTCATAAGTCTCCCAGAAAAAAAAACTTCATTTTTTTTGCACAGCAGTGTACGTACTGCAGAAATCAGAAAGCAGTACTTCTGATGTTGAGCAAGAGACAATGGGTGGAAGATGTCTTCAAAGTGGGGTGGGGCAGGCTGAGGGTTATTCTCTGCATTCTTGTCCTTGAGAAATAGTGACTGGGCTGTTCTTATACTAGAACAATCAGGATGTGCAGATGAGCTCTTCATCTCTTCCATATTATGTTAAACGTTTATTCCCTCTTTCAGTGTCTTCCTCTTTTCACCAGGTTGTTATTGTATTTCAGAAACAAGAAATACTACAGGTAGTCCTTGACTATGGCCATAATTGAGCCCCAAATTTCCATTGCTAAGTGAGGCTGTTGTTAAGTGAGTTTTGCTTCATTTTACAACCTTTCTTGCCACGGTTGTTAAGTGAATCACTGCAGTTATTAAATTAGTCACACAGTTGTTAAGTGAATCTGGCTTCGCCGTTATACTTTGCTTGCCAGAAGGTTGCAAAAAGTGATCACATGACTCCAGGACACTGCAACCGTCATAAATATGAATCAGTTGCCAATTGTTGGCATTTTAATCGTGGCCATGGGAATGCAGCAATGGTTATAACTGTGAACAATGATGATAAGTCTTTTTTTCTGTTTCATTATAACTTCTTTAACAAATAGTTGTAAGTTGAGGACTACCTGTATCAGGTGAGCAACTCCAGTCATTAGCTTTCATGGATAAAACGTCAGCCAATCCTTCCAGGCTATTAGACAACAAACACCTTGATAAAGGAAATATCAGGCCACATTCATAAAACTTTGTTTCCCATGATTGTCTTTATTCACTGAACAGTATTCAATAATAGAATCACAATCCTGAATACATATTTGTATAGGAATACTTAGAGAAAGATTTTTCCTCATCAAGAAGGCAATAGCCATAACTGTTTTCTAAATTATGCCCTTATGCATAAGCAACATTGACAAATTGCATACCTGTAGGTTTGTTTGATTAAAGTAGCAAAAAATGACAGTGGAACAGAGACTAGGCTGGCTAAAAAAGCAACAGATGGCCGCCTTGCTTTTTGGACTAATGTCAGGTTTAAAGCATTTAGAGGGATTGCAGGGAATTGGTTTTGTTGTGGTCTGCATTAAAAATTAAGAGTTTCTCAATCAGAATATCCTATACTGTATAACTGGCATTTTATAGGGACTTTTGGCTTGTATAGAAGTTCACTGCTGTCATCTCCTTTATCAGGGAAATAATAACATTCTAATCACAATCCTTGAATCTTCTTACCATATGACTTATGCTGTGAATATCCACCCATCTGTTTTTAGGAGTACTTATTCCAAATTAAATACCACGAAGTGAAAGAATTTGTTGTTATAGTTAACTTGCGATATTTCTTAAAGCAGATGGGAAAACTGAGTATTTATTTAACCAATTTACAGTGCTTGATTCAATTATAAGCTTCCAATGACTATTTTGTTACTAAATTCCATTTTTGCTAGGTATATTATAATAAAGTTGCATCGCACACTAGGGTTACATATTTAATTAAACTTGCCTGTCTGTGTGGATGGACGTTGTTTTAGAGATTTTTTGGTTAGGCTGTTTACTGAGGTGAAATCTCACAACATATAGACAGATTTAACCATAGTTTCAATTGCAAAAATGTGACAATTCTAGACCAGGCCAAGTCCAAAAATGCCAGGAAATTTCTAGAAACCTGGTACCCTGACAAATCAGGCATCAATAGACACATAGACATTAACAACATCTATAGACATATGCAAAAGAGACAATCAACCAGCCCAAAAAGGAACAAAAAGACTCCAGTACCTCTCCACCAATAATCAGCACCCAGATCAGCATAGATTAACTCTAAGGTGAACTTCGGACCAACAAACAAATAAGCAAATCCTCCAGTCAAGAAACTGCCAACGATCCATCAATAAAAAGCCCAACTAAAGAATCCCTAAAACTGCCCCCACTCACACAGACAGGCAGGACACCAGAATATAAACTGACAGCAAACAGCACTCCTTACTAGCACTGATGATTTTACCTAGTTAGGGTAATGAAATATCTGCAAAAAAAACAAGCAAGCTCAGAATATATCTGTATTTACCATTAAAGCCAGAGTTTCTCAAACCATGAGGTGGGCCTCCTTAGGCAGGTGCAGCAGTGTCCAGACATGTGAAGAATGTATTAGTTTCATTGTTACAATAAATCCCCCTTTCCCAAAGTTTAATTGAATTGTTTTCATTGTTTGTTTGTGTTTATGTTGGTGCTTGGCACAGTGCTCTAGAGGAAGTATGTACATTAAAATTCTACTAAAGGGAGATGTGATGGCAAAAT